TTAGGGATAGAGACAGGATAGACGAGGCGGCGATTGGAGCCAGTTGGCTGACAGTAGGTTTTACAAGAGATGTGCTACATGTAGGAAAGGCATGACCATGAGACTTACACAGAGGCTTCAGCCTCGAATTAGTCAACCAGATGCAGGGGTCGCAGGAAACTGCGACCATAACAGAGGCCACAACATCTAGGTCTTCATATATTCAATCCCTGAAATTTCGCCTAGCTTAACTGTCTCCACATTCTGCAAAAAGTTTATAATTAAACTACCCAATCTAGTGTTTTATACCCCCCAAATATTCTGGATTCGCAAACTTGACAGGATATTTTAATATGATTCATGTATGATTCTATGGGTATCCTTCATATAGAAGTCCTCACGTGAGTGCATAATCTGTAGAAACCTGATCCGGAGAAATGGAATTGCTTATAAGGTTCAAACTTAACTATTTCAACCATGCTTTTTCTAAAGCCAACAAAATGCCAACCCCAGGAGCCTATGATAATATTAAAACCCTCCAAATGGCTGCTTTCATTGTATTTGTGAACATTATGAAATGAGTATTCACTACATTCAAGAGATACTTATTCCAAATTTAAATTGTCCCTTATCTTCAATTTCCTAGTGCAAGTGATGTATTATCAAATAAAAAAAGAAAATGTCATATCAATATATTCCTACTAGCCATGTCACGCCTTGTAGGCACCTGGCGTGGGCAACGCTACTTAGTGGATAAATCTTAGTATTAGGCCTATGGCAAATCGTATCGCCATTATTTGTCCTTTCGTTCATCAACTATGGTCAGTTAGAGGACATCTGGGCTAGTGAAATTATTCATTTAACAGGAACTTATTTGAGCAACAGTCAAAAGGAAAGCCAAGGAAAGGACGTCAAAAGTAAGCCTTTATTGATCAGATTGGGCCACTGAGTGGGCGTTTTGAGCTTATGCTTTGATTGGTGAAGGGGGGGGTGGTTGCCGTCTATTTGCTTAGCCAACAATGCATGACTCATCTTTTAGCTTGCATTTTAACGCATAGTCTGTAGCTTATTTTTTTCACTGTTTCTTACACGAAGGCAGGCCCGGCTTTTGCGAATGCAGTTAGGTGAGTGAATGTTAGACAGGCTTGCCAACAAATTTGAGCATCTAAGACAGACATTTCAGTCGTCGAAATGGGGCACTATATCAATCTAATGATCATACTAATTAATTAAATTATACGAAATATCCATCACTATGGCATGTACAAATATTTATTTTTAAGCATCTGATACACAATTATTCTTAATGCATTTTATGAATTGCGGGTAGTGTGCATTCTTTGCATTCAGCATCTTGTAGAATTTTATCCCAGATCATGGCCCATAGAATGGTGAGCATGACATTTAGCACTGATCATGAAATTATGCTATCTTATTCACAAATAACTTACACAGCGGTGCATGAATTCGTTTAAAATACTTTGCTAGTTGCCTCAATTTGGCAACAGACAAAGATATTGAACTACTTTTTCATCAAGTACGGACCTAATTGCTACATACTAGAGCCCGACAAACTACCTTGACTTGCAACTTTGTATGGAGATTAAAATGATTGATTATTTTCCATTTAGGCTACCCCCTACCATACTATTTCACATCCTTCACAACTTCACGCTCTATTCTACCGTTAGGTCACCTTTCCCACCCAGGCAGTTCACATCCTTGCACACACCCGTTTCTGATTGCGAATGGGCAACCAGGGGCCTTCGGTTTGCAGCGTCCAGATATAACCAATGGACCCACTCTTGGATCTGGGCTGGGCTTGCAGCACACAAATTCCCTATCCGGGAACCTGCTACAGCTTCATTCCCGAGGTACTTCTGGTGGACCACTGATTAGCCGACATCCTGGTATCCAAATCGGAGCGCATCATCATCCTTCACATCAGGAGATGGAAGAAATCAATACAAAAGATTTGGCCCAGAGGATTAGCGCTGAACTGAAACGATACAGTATACCTCAGGCTGTATTTGCTCAGAGAGTCCTTTGTCGTAGCCAGGGTACATTATCAGATCTCCTGCGAAATCCTAAGCCATGGAGTAAGTTAAAATCTGGTCGTGAGACGTTTAGGCGCATGTGGAAATGGCTTCAGGAACCTGAGTTCCAAAGGATGTCAGCTCTCCGGCTAGCTGGTGAGTCTTAATTCTATTTTATTAGCCATTGCTTGGGTAATCTCATTTCTCAGATCAAAATAAATACATATTATTAGCTCCACTATTTAGCGCTTTCGTAGCTATATCCGACAGTGTTTGCTAGCTAGAATTTGCAATAAATTCTTTCGTGATATCTTTTAGATTTCAGATGATTTTGTGTGCTCCATAAAGCTCTTATAAGTCACGTTCAATGCCTACAATTGCTGTTATTTTTGCCACTAAAATGCCTTGAGGAGTACATCTGCCATCTAGCCATTGTTTATGACAACCTTACTCCGCGTAAAATGCTGGTTTGGGTGTAACTATAGGTTTTCTTACTAATAAGTTTACAACTGTGGCAAAATATACTTTTGAGTTCTTAACATTCTACTACTTACCATCCTGAGGTGCAAAAACACTGCTGATTTTCGGGTTTGAGTTACACAATAAGTAAGATAAATGTTCCCTACTTTTGATGTTTGCATAACTTTATTTTGTTTGAAAAGATAAATGGTTCTTTATTTTTAATATTTCGATTTGTCTTATGCTGTGCTTTGAATTGACTGGAATAACGAGTTAAATGTATTCAGGACTAGACTTGCTGGTTTTTTTTGAACATTGAAAACTTTGTAAATGGAGCTATGAAGGTCAAGATCTTGTTGCCTCTGTTTTGGTCGCAGCCTCCTTTCGCTATATACAAGTGGTCTGACCTCTTCGCAACCTGGTCACGTTATCGTGCTACCAAGACCTTTTGGCAGACCAGATAAACAGCGTATGGAGTAAAACGCATACTTTATCTTAAACCAAGTCGGTCAACCGGTAAGATAAATGAATCCCTGGGCCATGTTTTAGATTAGGATAGGTGGTCCGAGTCGGATCAGCAATTCCGGCAAATCGAGATGGCGGGGGGCAGGGTAAGCAAGCCGGTGCGAAGACGTTCCACCAAACCCGCCAAAAGAACAAAGGAGTCGGATATAAACAAATTAGAAGTTGTGATAGTGTGGAAGTGAGATACGAGGACAGGGAGTAAGTAGATATACCAGAATAGAAGGAAGTGTGCTAACAAATTGCCCTTACTTCTTCGCTTTCCTTTGTTTTTTTTGATAGCATCTGATAACAAATAATCTCACAATTAAGAAATGTCTAGAAATTGAGGGACTTTATAGGCTTATCAGTAATATCACAGATAATTTGGGACAAGAATTTCCTGAAAATCATAGAAACAAGATAACAGAATGATTTTACCGGGAGCGCGTATGAACTATATGACCCCAAGCTAAAGAACACGTTATAAAAGTAATATTCCGTTCTAAAGTACAGTTCACTTATATGTGACGAGTAATTTGTACTATACAACAAAATTACTAAAATTATCCTTACCAGTTTTTGCCGAATAAAAAGGAATTATTAGTCAAATTGACTTTAATTTGATCACTCGTATATTGGGTGCCAGAAAGGTAAAATGACGAAGGAAAAGAATGGCCTATGAAAGGAGTGGATTGCAAATCTAACAGTAAATGTATTTATATGAACTACTGAAACTTTAGACCACATAAGAAGACTGAAGGAATGGTAGTCAGTTTTTCAACAATAAAATTAGTAGAGGACTACTCGATTTCATTAAATTTTATTTTGTTTTTTTTCGTGAGACGCTTTTGTATCCGAACTCCGGTTTCGATCTCATCAACATCCTCCAATGGGATTCAAAACCGGGTCCTGCAACGCTACCAATCAATACGCTAAATAGCCTCCCGTGCTTATAATTCCCAGAGCATATGTGATTTTTAACTTAATCTCGGTCTCCAAATTTAAATTTATAATGGTACTAGTGTCCATGGGTCAGATTTGTACTTGCCGGTATTACTGATTGTTACTAAACTTAATGATTTCCTATATGGTAGCGTAATCGACCTGGTTTCGAATCCGGTTTTGAGTGCTGATGCAATTTAAGTTTGAAACTGTAGTCCACCATTGATGTGAGAGCCTTGCGGGAGGCAAATATAGGGGAAATTCACTAACATTGGGAAGCCTTTGAATCCATTTCATTTTGGGAAATCAAACTATATTTCGAAGATATGGAGACCAAGATTATATGGCCTTTGGTATGGTCACAGTATCCTTTTCATATGTAAAAATGGGCTGACCTCGCTTTCATAATTGGTCGTGTTGTCAGGGCGACTTGGTTGGACACACCTTGACCTAAGTCCTTTTCTCTAGTAGTTTTCACAATTCCCATATTAAAACCGACGCGATGGGTGCGAATAACAGAGGAGAGTCGAACTCTTCATGACCTGGAGCAGCTCGAAGAGATATCCATCAATGCTTTCACAATTACTTAGCCGTTCATTTAGAGATTAATTTTCTACACTAGCTATTTATGTGAGTCTTTCTTTTTCCTGCGAGGCATGCATTTTTCAATAAGCTTTTAGGATTCGTTGTCGATAGTGTTTCTTGCTAGCAGATTATGCACTTTGATGTAGAATTAACAATTTTTCGTTGGAGGCTTCAAAAATCAGTTTTCGTAACGTATGAGCAAGGTTGGATATCAAAAGTTTGCTTTCAGAATTGTAGTAGATTGTGGGAAAATTCAACTACCATTCCTTCATCACCTTAAACAAAATAGGGTGATCATAACTCATAGATATTATTTTTGGTAGTTTCGAAAACCTACTCAATAACGAAAAAAGTAATGTCGTCGATTACAATAACAAATATAAGTTTGCTTCATAGACAATTTCAACACTGAATATGATATGGAAAATGCCTGACCTTCCTTGAAATTCACTTTTTCCTGTGACCTAAGGGCACTCGTGGCAATATGGCGTTTTGATTAAAGTGCCGAGATTCTATGCTGCCCTGTCATGCTTCGATTCCTACTGAGAGTGTTGATAAGACCAAGGCGAGGTCGAAACTGCAGTCCACCCTGGATGAGAAGGCCTTTTGGGAAAGCAAGGCTGTATGAATTTCAATGTAAACGTCAGCTCTACTCATATCATTTTGGGAAAATTCTACTACCAGTTCTTCATAACCTTAAACGGAATAAGGTGAACACAACTTATATAACACTAGCAAAATACACGTTTGTATCATCAACAGTCCCACTATAAATGTGATTTCGGCAAGGCTTGTCTTGATTTGAAATTCACGTCTGCACTGTGCCCATTGGCACTCGTGGCAGTGTGACG